AATTATTTAATTTAAATGTTAAACACAAATAATTTAATTTACATTTTCAATCCATGAAGTATTTTTTTAAACACATTCTATTTATTTTTTTATATACTTTCGTATTATATATATATATATCGTATATGTCAATATATATATATTATATATATATATATTTGTTATTTTCGTATATATATTATATATTATATATATATATATATTTCTGTTGTTTTCATATATATATATATATTATATATTTTTGTTATTATTGTATATATATATATTATATTTTTTTTTGTTATTTTCGTATATATAACATATTATATATAGATTTGTTATTCTTGTATATATATATAATCAATTAAAAAATACTTAACATGAAATTGTTATATATGGTTGTAGAAAAGGTACAAGTTACTACTTCATTAATGTTACCAAGTTGATCGCCCATGACTCTGTTGAAGAATGGGGTTGCCCAATAATCAAACCCATAATGTTGTATACAAAGAAGTCTTTAATAATATATGATTGTTTCTTTGTGCAATAATATTTTTATTGTATAATTTTCCTGCCTATTGTAAAATTTTTATATTGCATATTGCATCTTATAATATAATAATTCCAAAGTTAATATATCTCGTGTCTCGCACATGTTACGTATCCCGTAAATTTTTCTTTTTCATTTATATACTTATAAAGTTGGATAAATGTCCTTAAAATTGTACACTCCGTGCATCGCACGGGCTCTGTACTAGTATATGCTTAAAAGCTAATTTCCTACTTACGTGGTAACTTTACAATCAACTACATATCTCTCCTCTCCCTCCATTTCTCTCTCTTCTTCACACACGGTCTTCCTTTCTCTTCTCACACAAAACCACCGCCACACCCACAGAGTTGATGGCTTGATGTTTGAGATTTATTTACATCACTACGGGAGATTTGCAGATGAAGAAGCCCGGAGATTGAGAAACCATCTGCCCCGATTTGCAAATGAAGAAGCTCGGAGATCGAGAAAAAAATAAATACATCTCGCGTTTGAAAATCCACCGCTAAATCTCATCGTCAAACGGTCAATTCATTCCCTAATTCCGACGATTCTTGTCCGACCAGGCGATACATCTTCAAAAATTATTCGGAGACAACGTAAATCAAAAAAGCTCAAATCGACTGAAAATGAGAGCTTGCCTGCCCCCGATCCCCAAGGTGAAAGTGAATCTGAAGAAGATGATGCGGCCCTTTTTAAACCTGTTTACCCTTTCTTTTGTCTTTTTTTTTTTTGTTTTTTTTTTTCCTTTAACCCGCGTGAACATATGTAGTATATGCTCAATATATTTGCAATATATGTTCAGTATATGTACAATATATGTTTAATATATTTTTTTTTTCTATCTGATCTAACGAAAAACTTCTCAGATAATAATTGTCGAACACTTGGTGTGCTTGATTTGTTGATAGATAGTTTTATTATGTACATGTGTGCGGGTATATTTTATGAGTATATATAGTATATTTCCCGTATATGTATCGATATGAAAATTTGTATATTTCGGGTATGAAAATTTACATGTTGCGGGTATATGTTGCTGGTATATACCAAAGTTACACAACGCACATATACATAAAATATACGTACAATATGCATAAAATATACGTACAATATGTATAAAATATATCTAATATATACCTAAAATATACCTCAAATATACACAGTTTTTTTTTTTTATTTTTTTTTCGTTCTGGTTCAAATTTGATGCTTTACATGATCAGTCTGGAAATCTTGCGCAAAAAACATGGGATAGGATAGAGAAAGAGAAGTAATTGATTGTAGGCATGAATGCAAATAATCCTTATCTATTAGGTATAATTCCAATTAAAGTGTTATTAAAGGTAATGTTGCAATTACTTAAAAAACGGTAAGTATACATAAAAATTTCCCTTGAATTTTAGTTGTGATAGGCTGATAGCTGATTGTTGCTTTGACTAGCGAATTGAATTAGTTGTTTTGATCAGACAGTTGTGTTAGCGGTTTGTAAAAAAAAAATGTTTGGTAAAATTAGTTATTTTTAATTAACTGTTAACATGTAAAATTATTTATAAGAACATCATCATAATTTATCTTTCTTATTTATGATGAATTTATAATTATTGAAGAAATAAAAATAATTAATATATTTTAAATATTTAATTTAAAATATTAAAAAATATAAATGATAATAAAATAAAAATATTTATTAATTGAGTAAATAAGATTAAATCATATAAATAAAGCTAATAACAAGTTATCACTATTTAAAAAATCTAAATATGAGTAAATTGCAATATATCTCATTACAATTGAAAAAAAAAAAATCAAAGTACTAAAATTTACATCTAAATAACTAAAATTTATATTAACAATTTCCAAAAGTTCTCATGGACAATTAAATAACTAAATATAGCATTTATTTAGAATTTTCTTTCTCTTTTTACTTTATTAGATTTATCTAATTGTTTGAGTGTTCCTAAAGTGTTTTTCACTAGATTTCTCAAATTGTTTGGATGATTATGCAACTTTGAAACTTTTTTTACAAGATTTCTCAAATTGTTTGGATGTTTCTACAACTTTCGATATTGTTTTAGGAGATTATGTGATAGAAATAAGATGAAGTAGTGTATCTAATATTTGTCTTTATATATATTTGTCTACATATGTTTAAAATTTTAGGTGATGAACTAAGATATATTTAGTGTGGATAATGGTTGGAAGATATATTTTAAAACCGCATTATACTATTTACATAGTATAATAATGAACCAATTTATAATGAACCGCATTATACTATTTACATAGTATAATAATTTGTTGTTTCTATTTTTTTAGTAATTTAAGGTTTAATTAAATTGAATGTCAGAAATGTAAACACTTGAAAATTTTTTATTTAAAATAGGAGAGCTAGCGTATTTTGCAATTTCATGAGGTTGAATGAGAATTTGCAATAAATATTAATATAATGTTCGTGAATTTTACGAGTTGAAAGAATGTAGAGCACAATTTTTATACTATCAAACTTAAATGATTGTGAACTTTTATACTGCAACTTTATTATTTACTTTATCATTTTTAAGTAAACTTTACTTATTATATATATATATTATGCTATTAAAAATTATATACCCCCTTCAAAATGTATCGACTTGAGATCTGTCAAGTACCTTATATTCAAAATTGTTTTGTCTTGTTTATTAAATCAATGAAAATGTGAGATCAAGTTCGGTTCATACACTCAAACCATTTTAATAAATTCAAAATTTAATTTTTTAAATTCTAATCGAATTGTTTGCGAACACGTCTATAAACTTAATCTCTTGTTCAAACTCGCCTCATTTACGTATGTACGGCCTCAAATTTTTAAAAACCAACCCAATACTATTCTTGAAAAACTGTGATTGAATAATAGTCTAGTCCCTCCCAAATATTTTTTCTGAACCCCGCCCCTGAGCTCGAACACCTTAAGCTCGGTTCGGTTCGATAACAACCTTAGTTAGTTTGACTAAATTGATTGCATTAACATCTTATAAGTGATTGTGTAAAAAATATATAATGTACGACGATGTTATTATAAATATAAATAGTAATATAGTTATTAAAAAAGTACTTTAAAATTAAAATAATTTTTTTATTTTTATTTTTTAATTTTAAATATAAATTTCTTAACAACACTTGTATAATACATGGGTGTTGTACTACTGTAATAAATATCAGAATGAATGGAAAGAAATTAGACAAATCAGTTGGGGCAGTTCACAACCCGGCCCGGCCGGACCGGCCGGAAGGGTCGCCGGGCCTCAAAAGATGGACCCGACTACATCTAAGGACCGGTTAATTGAACCGCCAGTGTTTAAAAAAAATAATAAAAAAGAAACTAAAAAACAACTCGAACCCATCCTCCGACCCAGAACCGGCAGGTAAAAAGAACAAAAATAAAACCCAAAACCGACTTGGTTTTACCACGGAGCTGTTTATAAGACCCGTAGATTCGGGCCAGTTGGCCCAACTCTTGCTACCCCTAGAAAGAATCCGAGTTAAATAAAAAATCTGAATTTTAATTAAATAATTTTTCTATATTAAGGGGGGGGGGGGGGAGGTATATTGAAGTGTTGAACGATGTGAACGATGTGGGACTATAAAAAATGACAGAAAACAGGAAACATACTCACAAGGAAAAAACTGAAATCAAACTTGTGATTTAACCTTTTCTTATATACTGTTTTCAAGAAAAAACTCCCTACAAAGAGGTATCTTTCTGTTATGCAACTAAAACCGGCCAACTCTCTTCCGACCAACCGGACATACGACAACAGAGTCCACGCACAATCCACCCTTCGTGTGAGTGCAGTCGATTTGAGTCATCCAGAACTTCACTCTCGTCGACTTGTGAGAATTTTCCACAACAAAATCTCCCACATGGTAAAGTATCCACTTTCCGGGACCTTCCAAGTAGGACTGC